TATGGTACTGCCATGCCGCATACTCGAACACTATCGACGCGCCTCCCTCGTCGATTTCAAAATCGGGATAATCCCAATGGTACCGCCCGATATTCCCCAGACCGATTTTCCCGACCTCATAATATGCCCCAACATTGGTTGCTATGCGTCTAGTGGCGTTCCATAAGGTGATTTCACCCCCCGAGGGAGTGTCGAGGCAGACGCAGTCGCTCTCGGATGGCCCATAACACCTGCAATCTTTTGTGAAGATCGACGAGGCCTTCTCACTCAGGACTGTAAACTGGGATGCGGATCGCACGATCGAGCAGTCATACTTGATGCGGAGGCCCCATGCCCTGCCCGACACCGGCTTATCGGCTTGCGGCGCGAGGAAAAGCTCTGGGACAGACTCATCTAGGGGTGGGGTATTCGGCAGTTTTTTGAAGGCAGAGTGCTTGGACCGGTCGACAGATTCGTTGGTATAGATGATTCCGATGCCCGGCATAACCGGAGCAGACCCAACTAGCCACGCTTCTTTCGCAGGGTAAAAATTCAGATCGTATCTCTCGTTAAAGGTTGTGCTATTTCGTCCTTGGACGAAGGCAATTTCTGATGTACTAATATAACCGTCACTAATCTCGAAGACAAGGCCCGAGAGCGGGAGGGCGATAAATGGCAGGAGGCTGATGATGGCTAGCAGGCCCCATAGCCAGGAGCACTGCCGGTGTTGGATAGCTTTAATCCACCCAGAGGGACTACTCCAGGTGCTGTTTGAGTGCATCAGGTACACGATTAGGTTGGGCGCGCCCCAGGGCCGCGAGCGGATCATAGAGGCCTCTACGCCCACAAGTCCGTACTTTGACCACGATAGGGCGAAGACACCGATAATGAACCACGAGTAGAAGGCCAGGGAGCCTGAGAAGGTACGGTACTTGGCGGCCTTGTCATGGACGACACCCTGTATCAAGTAGACCCAGATAACACCGTAATAAGCCGTGATAATGGCCGGGACGAAGATGGCGACGAGTGGGCGCACCCAGTAGCGACGAAGCGGCGGCTCTTGGACCGTCCCTCCCGAATCCCGCTTCTCAACCTCCCTGTCGCTAGCCGCGAGTTGGGGCTTCCCGATCCCGGTCTCATCAGAGGAGCTATGGTAGAGGAGAAGGTGCTCCTTGGCCGGATTTGGCGCTTCGGTAGGTATCATCGCGATCATGGAACGAGAAAAAGGTGAACGAGTAGAGCAGCATTTACAGTAAACTCGAATTCTGGCCCATAAAGCAGGAAGGGGGAAGAACCTGTCCTTTGACCTCCATTCTCTTATAAGTTCATTTTCTTCATCTCAGCCTCGCGTATGCCTTGGCATCCGTACTTCGTATAGCGGCCGCCAACAACCATAACAGGTAATAAGGACCGATGACGCATCCCGCCACGCGCCAGCCTTGCAGACGACATGCTGCAATATTGGTAGCCATTGGTCCACCGCGAGCTGAGCGTAGAGCCGAGCAGGCTGGGGCTGGGGGATTCATGGTTGCTATAATTTCGGTTTACCAGTTCGCAAACCTCAAGAATAGAGAACTGGTGACAGCGTTCACGCTCCGGGTTGTTGTCAACGATGCCCCCCTGGCGGGCCGTCGAAGGCCTTCCGATGGTTGACCCTGATCCTCACTACTACTCGGCCTTGGTTTCTAGCCTCTCAGATCTAAGAGGAAAATCAACTTACATCGTCTACCCGAACACGTATGAAGAGTCCCTGGTCTGGCTTTGAGTGAAACTTAGCCACCTAAATTGTGGACAGAGAGCGACATAAACTCAAGAGTCTTTTCCCCATTCTATCGACGGATTGACATCTCCCCTTTTGACATCTGCTTTACTCTGATATTTGTAGTCTTTGCTCTCGCGCTGGGATGACAAGTCGAAATACTCATCGGGGCTGAGTGGAGGTAGATGCAGTTGGCTGCGCCACCAAATGTTGCAGCCAGCCTGATCGACTCGGTAATGATTGGAGACGGCCTGACCCCAGGCAGGTGAGATGGATGGTCCGAACGACGATTGCGGAAAGTGGCTGCGGCTAAGCGACCGCCAGCTTCGCTCTCCGCATAGATTTAGAACTTACTCGTCGCCAGGCACAATCTCAGTCCGACCAGAAATTTTTTGAAATCTGCTTCACCATAACCTAAGAGGACGCGTTACTCGAAGATTCCCCCGAGGTGCCCAGCAAGGAGTACGTCTAAACGCGAAAGACGACCTGCTTAATTCAAGACTCCCACTCGAACGTGGAGGAGGAGAAAGGAAGTCTTGTATAGAATGCAAGAATAGAACAGCTTGACTCGATACTAGGTACTAAGGCAGGGATCCCACCCATGCTCATGCAGTCCTGAGAGTGTGGCACCAACTAAAGACTGAATCATACTGACTGAACGCTGGCAACGCAGGCTGAACCGCAATATCTAGAAACTGGCTCCGTAGATTAACAACCTGCGGCGAACATATTGCCATAAAGCCCTTCTCTCTGGGTCAAACTACTATGTAGGAGAACGGGGGCCAAGCTGACTTGGCAACGTGTGTTGACTCTCTCCATCGGACAGAGCAGAGCTGCGCCTTACAGCTCCACCACTATCTATAATAGGGTGGATCGAGTTGATACACGCGGTCGACCTACCAACCGATGATCCCCTAGTTCTCTACTCACACGGGAAACGCATCTTCAGCGAAACTACCCTCTCTCCTGGCGTCTCTATCCTCTATGAGGAGATTTTGCCGCCTATTGTGCAACATCTGGCCAATAAAAACACCATGGGTGAACAAGACGAGTTGGGAAGTCCCCGCACCCTCGTTTCTAGCCTATATGGGCCCGGAGTTGTCTTGGCCTGGATCTTGAGTCTTGTGTCTGTCCTCATTGGTTGGACAATCAATAAGAGGCGCTCTACTGTCGACTCGATCAATAGCGACCATTTCGTGGCGTTGGCATACCCCGTCGTTGCTGCTGGACATGCTATATACTTGCTCTTTCATTATGGGTTCGATATTTCAAGCATCCACGATGCCGACCGTCTCTCTGCGACAGAGGCCGAAAGGCGGCACTCTTTTACGAGGCGTCAGCAATTCGAGGCTGTTAGAGCCCCCATAGCTATCTGTTTTATATTCTACGATGTTGGAATAATGCTGCTCTACATCGCCCACCGATCCTTTACCAGACAGATCAAAGGTCAGCCGGGAAAAGATAGGATCCCGGGGGACGCGCCTCTAAAACGAGCGCTTTTTGTCTCGATTGCATGGCTCGCTTCCGCCTTTGCCTCGATACTCTACTGTTTCGTGGGTCCTAAGACGGGACATATATTTGAAACGACTTTTACAATCGCGGTGGATGACGCTATTTCCTTGATCATGCACCGCGGACGAGATTATACCGAGGATTGCGACTGGGTAAATAATCCAGGCATGTGTATTAATGTTGTGATCGGATGGGCAGTTTTGTTTTACATGGGAATGCTTTGGATTGCCCGAGTGCTTGTCACAATCCGTATGGCGCTCCTGACATGGGCTCGTTATAAAGGGAATCGGGTGCCGCTGCGGAGAATCTACTTTTCGGTTGAGGCTCAAGTGGTGCCTCCGGCCAAGAATAGTTTCCTACGTGACTATGCCCTCATCCTGTTCAGCTCATCCACAACCTTTCATGGATTCTTCTTAAGCCAACTTACTAGGAAATCTTGGGGTTATATACCCCGGTCGAACAACTCGATTTCGGAACTTGATCAAGCATTTTCTTTTGGAGCTGGCTTAGCTTGCTTTCTGTACTGGTTTCGTGATATGGTACGGTCCCGGCGAGAGGAAAGCAGCGGAGTGAAGCGGAGAGTCACCTGGTAAGGGACAGAAAGGACAACCCGAAGAATAAGGTAACATTGAACCGCATAGGCTCTGAACCAAGTCAGGAGCGACAGATGGAGAGGAGCTCAGCTTGCATTAGACCTATTCCAAGATCCGAATCTTCACAACACCCAAAGGCTACCGCTGTTGATGATTAGGGGCAAGGTGAAACCATCGGATTACAGTATGTGAACAATATAAAATGTTCCAGTAATCCTTCAAGCATGAGAGCAGTGTTCCAGTAACGTAAGCTCTAGTTTCATAGCATTCGCATTTACTAGGGGGGCTGTGTGATAGATTGATATTGATTCCTATATGATGGAATAGCTCTCTGATCTCAATGGATCCATATAACTATAAAATCGGCCCATGAGGCTCGCGGTCAAGACACGCTTCACTTCAGTTTGAATAACGGGTCTTATCGCGGGTGGGGTGGTGCCCTCGAGACGGCGTATCTGGACTCAAGCAACGATACCCAACAGCCCGCGGTTTCGAGAGGGGACTGGAAACTTACCTCCCAAGAGAAGCACTGGTTCCTAGTCAGGCGAGCAACAACTATGATCTGTCTCGGATCATCCGCTCTAGGCGTCTCGCCGCTAAGGGACAATTATAATATCTCTTCATTATCTCTACCATAGCACTGGATAGTGGGCATCACCAGGACTCTTGTCACTTGAGCTGTTGAATACCTACAAGCCTACACTCTCGTAGGCATCGAATATCGATAGTGTGCCCAAGGTCTTTGAAGCCCAATAGTATGTTATTCATCCTTCAATGGACTCGTGCGGCCTATAAAGCGGCTCTCGAGTCCAGTCAATTCGACGACACAAGTACAGGAAAGGGCAAGGGTTTCGAATAGGTGAGATCAAGAAGATAAAAGTGAAATATGAAATGTGTGAATTTGCCAGACCAAAATAAATAACTACAGATATCTCTATGAATACAGAAAAGGTGTCGAAGATCGAACCATCGTGACATAATGTGACCCATCGCCACTCGTCTACCCATTCATCCTGATTCTATCCCGTGATAACGATGTCAAGTCGCCCCTCCTCCCCGTTCGATGCGTCTTAGGAAGGGAAAAAGCGTAACCATCGTGAAAAGTGTTTGCAAAAAAAAAATTACCCTTTTTTTCAACAGGAAAGAGAAGAGGAAAATCAAAACTCAAGAGTGGGCTCGACACCCTTCACCCTTCCGATCACCTGCTCAGGAGCATACTTGGGAATGACCTCATCATCGTGAAGCATCTCAAACTCCTCCGTAGCATCACGACCCATGAAGTTAAGGATAGCCTGAGGACCACCGGGGTGCTCATCGAGCCAGTTGGTTAGATCCAGCACGACGCCCTTGACGACGACCCAGAGATCATCCTTCTTGTTGTGTTTAGCGATCTCTTCCAAAGTGTATTCCGTCTCGGGGATCTTGAATGGCTTGGGGCCAGGCTTACCCGACTTTTCGGCGGTGGGGGCGGCGGCAGAAGCCTGAACCTGAGGGGCGGAAACAGCGGCGCCGGAGGCGGATCCGCTCCAATCGACGGTCACCTTACCGGGCTGAGAAGGGTCGATGTGAAGAGAGATAAGGCCCAGCCTCTGGGCACCAGTGGAGGCGCCGCTGAGCACCTTCTGGAAGAGGTAGTTGCTGGCGGAGTCACCGGCAACACGGCCGTAGACGACACAGCCGAGGAGGGAAGAACCACCGAGACGGTTGGCACCGTGGACACCGCCGGCAAGCTCACCGCAAGCGTAGAGACCATCGAAGGGCTTGCCCTCGTGGTTGAGAACCTCGGACTTGTCGTTGATCTCAACACCACCCATTGTGAAGTGGACGACGGGCTCCATGAGGGAGACGTGGAAGTCGTCGTTGATGTCGAAGGGAGTGTTGTGGAAGTACTTCTTGCCCCAGGGGTCCTTGACCTTGCCATCGGCGATGGCGTTGTAGGTGGTGAAGGTCTTCTGGAGGTGCTCGGGAGTGCAGCCAATCTCCTTGGCGAGCTGCTTGCCGGAGATCTTCTTCATGAGACCACGGCCAGAGTAGTGGCGGGTGTGGAAGTCAAGGACGTTGGAAGCCTTGGAGTTGAGGACAAGTCGGATGGGGAACTTGTTCTTGTCCTTCTCCTTCCACATCATGCCGGAGACGTAGTCACGGTGGCCGAGCTCATCGCAGAATCGGTCACCGTCACCGTTGAGGAGGAGACCACCCTCACCACGGAGGGCCTCAGCAGCCAAGAACTTGGTCTTGGCGTCGGGGTCCTTGGGGTCAACGAGACCAGTAGGGTGGACCTGGACCTTGTCCAAGTCGATGCCGTTACCGCCGATGGCCATAACCATCTTCTGGCCGTCACCGGTGGCATGGGTGCCGTTGGTGGTGGCGAGGCTGAGGGTGTCGGGGCGGTACTGCTTGAGGAGACCATTCTCGGTGAAGTCGGCGGCATAACCACCGGTGGCGAGAACAACGGGGCCGTTGAGGACATGGCTCTCGCCGTTGTGCTCGTAGGTAACACCAGTTACAACATTGCCCTCCTTGTTGAGAGAGGTAACGCGGGCCTTGAGGACGATCTTGACGCGCTCAGGCTCGGTCTCGGCGAGCTCCTCAAGTCGCTGCATGAGGGCGTACGTGATGGCCATACCGGGGAACTTGGCGTCGTGGCCACGGTGTGTTCGGGGCTGAGAATGACCTCTACATTGTCAAACTTTATTAGCACAGTGTGTCGCCGGGGAGGCAATTAAACGGTTGCCACTTACCCCAACCGGGAGACCAGAGTAAGGTCGAGGTTGAAGACATCCTGGAGCCACTCGACGGCGGCGGCGGACTTGTAGGTCAAAACCTTGATGAGATCAGGGCGGGCCCTGTCTCTCGCGGACTTGAGGGTATCATCGTAGAACTGCTTGACGCTGTCGGGGATGCCAGCTTCGACTTGTGTGCGGGTGAGGGCACCGTTGATACCCGAGGTGGCCTTGGTCGAGTTTCCACCGAAGAAAGCTGTGCAAAGTCCAGCGGTCAGCGATCAAATCATCCCAGTAGGGCGCGGGAAACCTTCACGGCATCCCATGGATGAGGGGGGTAATTGGCTTACATTGCTTGTCGAGGACAACGACGTTTCCGCCATTAAGGTAGACGGTATGCGCAGCGCTGAGGCCGGACACTATTCGCCGAGAGGGTTAGCAAAGAAAGGATCTTCGTCGAGCAAGACAAGAGCTTGGGCGCATGATGGCGATTGCGAACAACACCATGATCATGCTCATGAGGAGGAAGTGTGGGTAAACTTACAGCCTCCACCGACGACAATTACGCTGGGTGCCATGGTTGGTTATGTGACGTAGTAGTGTTTAACAAGGCAAGGCACAATCAAATCAAAAGGAATGAGGATGGTGGTGAGGAAGGAAAGTGATCGTGAAGGCGAAAAATGGAAATAAGGAGCACCAGGCACGTAATATATGGACTGGTGAGGGGACGGAGGAGCATGGGTTGGGGGAGTGATGGGCTGCGTAAAGTTAGACTCCACGAGTTACTGCGCCGAGGAATCTAAAATGCTGATGTAGTATGTTGCTCACGTTCCGAGTCCGGTATCAGGTATCGGTCGCCAATGAGCCGAGGTCGATTTGGCCGTGCCAGGGGGTGAGCCCACTAAAATTTCCAGCGCTCATAGGCTAGCTGATTGGTGAGCCAATGTCTCCCGTTCTGGACCCAGAATCAGTTGGTTACAAAGTACAAGCAGTACAAGCTTGACATCGAACAGACAGTAAGAGAACGAGGAATAGACACATGATACTATTCAAGGGAAAAAAACCCCTTTCTCTTTTCAGAACGAGTTCTAGATCGGCTTCCTATTTTCCCCCATCAAGTCAACAGCTCTTCCGCACCTGGTTTCCCCAGCACCAGTCTGTGCGGGGGAGCTCAAACTGCACTACAATCCACAGCACTCCCAAGCTCCGTTGTCTAGACTCTCGCGTCAACAGAGTGGAACTCTCCGACGGCGCCATGTGCCGAGGCTCCTAAAGCTGTACGTACACTAGCATCGCCTTAGCGCATCGGCAAAGGAGCAACGGCCCCCGACTCGGGGACATTGTAAAGTTCGAATAGTGCCCAAATCCTTCCATGATGAGGCATATCCAAAATTGTTCAACAGCCCTTTTCGAGCACCTCGAGTTCGATCTTCATAAGTCCTTGAGCTTCGTCGTGGGGGCCGGTGACTTTCCCCCCTTGTACTCCGTACTTACTAGGCATGTGAAATGACGGCGGACTCCGTCTCCACAGGAGGCTCCATGCTCTCGTAACGGATTTAGCTCAGCTTCTATTGGCTCGTTGCTTCACAGTCATGTCAGATGACATTCTGCCCAGGACGCCGTGATGTCACTTATCCCAGCACATGAACAGGCCAGTCTCAGCCAGTTACAGGCTCAGCCCTCGCCCTGCTCGGCGCCTTACTGGCCCAGGGCGGTCCAAGACGGCAGTAAAAACGCCATTTATCATTCGATTGTGCGAATTACAGGGCCTTCAATTGATGAAATATTACAGAGCGAAAAAGGAGAGCCAAAAACGAAGAGGAAAAAAGATTGAAAAAAGGAGAGAGAAAAAGCCATGTGAATCTGAGGATACTCGCTAACCACGTTGCACTTTTCCCACTTACCAGAGGTCGACTATCCCAAAGCTCAATAGCGCAAAGAATTATTACCCACGCGACCAAGGAAGCTCCGTGATGCTTTCAAATTGTTGCAGTGGCTATTTCCTTCCCAAATTGTACCCCCCACTGCGTCTGGCTTAACTAGCCTAGAATAGTAGGTAGGTCACCACGAATTGCATGTGATTGCGCTTTCCCCAGGATCTCAGGGCACCCCACATCCGCTAAATGCCACCCCTTGCGATTGACATGTGGTCCGCGGAGCCTTGGAGTTTGGAGTGTTCTAGACTCGAGGAATCTGCAATCTCACCGATGTTCTCTGCGCAATGCAAGCAGCTTAAGATCCGAGTCTCCATGCAGTTGGTGCAATCTCCACACATTGCCCAGACGGAGCTGATGCTACCCCAAACTTTCCACATGCTACCAAGGAGTTTTGCGAAGTGTGGCACATGGGACTACTACATTTCGAGACAATCACAATCGTTTGATGCTAGCGGACGTCCATTTGGAGCATAGGTGAGGGATAGGCCTCACGGGCCATTCCTTCGGGCTAGACTACTGAGTTCGGCTTGAGTTTGTTGTTCATGTCGTTCATGTCGTTCGAGTGGCTGCACGGCGTTCTCTTGAATCCGTAACGTGCAGGAGGCCAAGGTAAGTCTGGTTGAAGGTCGGTAGGTCTGCGATGAAGAAGATTATTTCCCGAGAATGAAGAGAATAAGCTGGACCTGGCCGAGGTCAGCTGTAGCAGGTGATATCACAGATCTTTATTTCCAAACACCGAGAAGAAACAAGAAACGTATATTAAGCTATACAACGATGTCCAAGCATCGTGGGATCTAGTGCAAATTAAAGGGAAAGCATCCGTGCTACTCATAAAGTCGTGACTGCTCATGTATAGGGTGTATCAAATCTAGTGTTAGGAAAGTCTAACCGGCCGGGACCTGTGGCTGGTGTCGGGGAAGTGAGACTCATGCGTAGTTAACTACGCCGTTTATGATCCACTGAGATGGGTTAGCATCTTTAAGAGAATTTGAGGTCATGAACAGTGGACTCGAGGTGAGCCAGGGAATGGAGGTGGATCCTTACCACTTCGCCATTTGATACTGAGCTTGCCACGTTAACAACCTCGATATTGTCTGGCTTGAGCTATAAGAGGCGTTAGGTATACTTAAGTATGGGCCGTAAAATCGAAGATATGGAGACCTACAATTTTCTTGTTACCCTGCGACTCCCACCAAATATCCCTACCACCACCAACTACCTGGGCTTTGTCGTTTTCCGGCCAAGGACTACGAGGCACGATATGCGCCTCGACGAACCGCCTCAGATTCCTTTGCGCCCTTTCGAGGCCGTCCTCGCCCTCGTACGCATCGGCGCCAAGAGCGCCGTAGTCGCGAGGATCCTCCCACGGCTTCCGGGGTAGTTTCTCGATCGCCGAGTTAAGTGGGGCTAGAACAGTCGTATTGACCTTGGAGTCATCCAGGCGTGCCTCGATGCACTCGACGTCGCGCGTAAAGCCTGCGAATACGTTGATGCTCTTATCGCGGCCCATGACATCGGAGAGGATCACTTCGCCCTGGCCCTGAGGCGGGGGTTGTTGATGATGGGGCTTGTCGATCGGAGGCATGAGGGGTAGTTGGACGTCGCCGATGTATCGGAAGATGTTGAGCCCTAACACAAGCGAGCAGGCTGGAGAGCAGGTCGACAGAATAAATGCGGCTAGAATAGGCTTCATGATACTGATAGGGAAGGCAAAATATTTATCCAACGAGTGAAAGTTTGGAATATGGCAACTTTGCTGCAGCGGATAATCGGGCGAGGTTGCGACATATGCGACAGGTGCTAATTTACGTCACTCGTTTGAAGGTGCTTAGTCATCCGACATTTTTTGTGTCGTGCCTCAAGCTATCACCTCGCCATCGTGGCCATACATCAACAACGATGTTCCGCGATTCTTCCTTCCGACTGTCAACAATGAGGTACCAGTCGTAGCAGGCTCCAGCAATACAAGAGTGGTTTGGCCAGATTCTGACGCGTTGTCCGACCTTGAGCGGCACTTCATCCGTCCTGTCCCCTTTCCACCCCAACACGCCGTGCTCCTGGCTCACCTTGACTACTTGCCAGCCTCCGTGAACAGCAGGAAACTCCGAAGTAGGTGGCGGAATAGAAAGGCCGGCTTCTGGCCAAGGAGCTACAAGTCCCCAACCATTGTAGTGGCGACTCTTTTCGCCACCCATGTCCTTGCACGGCTCCCGACCGAGCCCAAGACATCCAGCGTCGATGAGAGCTTCCGTCGTGCCGTCGGGTCCTCGACCTGGGTAGAGAGACACTACATCCACCAAGATACTGATGCCGATATCATCTGAACTCAGGAGGTCAGGAGATCTAGCGTGAGTCGACAGCTGCTGTAGATCCAGGGTAGGGTATACACCCGCGTGCGCTTCAAGCCGGTAGCCTTTAGACTTTAGGTCCTGTAGTCGGTTCAGAATTTCTCGGCATATCTCCGAGTCCTTGTGGCTGCAGCTAGCCGATTCGTTCGATTGCGTGAGGCAGGGATGCTGTAAGCTTGTTGCGGTTGGGGAGGCGCCAACTGAAAGTATCAACGGGCGCGGCGGTTGACCCTCCTGGAATGAATCTGCAAACTGCCCCAGGACAGTAAACTCTTCCAACAGGAACTTGAGTGCCTGCCAATCTTCTCTGGCGTCGTAAGAGTGTCCGGCATGGATGTATAAACCATGGAACTTAATGACACCTTCGTTATCTAGCTGGAATAGTTTCGCCAATATGTCCACGGAGATTGGTGATTGGGGCACGACTCCGGATCGATGATATCCGCCATCCACTTTCATAAATACCAAAGGCGGGTGCCCCGAAGCTTCCCAGAGTGCCTTCGCATACTCTAGTTGGTCAGGATGATCGACCATGACGGAAAGCGATCCAGAGCCGAGCTCTTTAGAGACGCTCGCAAGCCGACCCACCGCACCCGGGGGCAGCGGGAACCCATAGAGAACCTATTTCGCAAACAAATGAACGCCCGCTCTAAACGAGCCTCTTGGGAATATCGGGGTCATGAAAACCCACATTTACATTTCTTCCGGCTGCCAAATATTCTTTCAGCAAAGGCACCAAGTTCTCGGCCTCAATGATAGTGGACACCACTAGATTAACAGGTGTAGCCGACTTGTCTCCTACTTGAAGCCGGGTGAGTTCAGTAGTCTAATAAGAGCCTATATGCATCAGCTGGCCTCGCCCCCCTCTAACTAGTCGTTTTAGCAAGATAAGCAATTCACCTTGTGAGTTTTAACATGGGGTCTCCACTCTAACCCAAGCGCTTCTACCGCATTGAGCATACGCTCACAATTCCGTTCGACAATAGCAAGATCAAGAATGGCGGAAGGGGTCGAGATGGTATAGTCCGGGTCCAATAAGGATTGTCCCACGAACCTCTTTCGCAACACTTCTTTTGATGTAATGTCCATGGTAGGCAGAGGGTACGTCGTCACCTATGAAAATGTATTCCAAAATTCAGGTTTGCTATAAAAGCGATGCCTGGAGTGACGTTGGCATAAGGAAGGCGTTCACTAGATGAAAGTGTAATCCTTGAGAGGGATATATAAATTGTGGAGATGAGGGGAAGTGGGAGAGGAGGGGATGAGTGCTTCCAAATGTTGAACTAGAGCTCCAAGGATCAATAGCGCGTAGAATGATGTTATCGATGAGACGTCTTCTCTTCCTTCTCAAGTCCTGCCAACTTGGGATCAATACTACGTTAGGGACTAAATTGGACCAACTACGAAGAACAGTGACCGATGGATATCCTCTTGACGTGTAGAAGTTGATGTTTGTTCTGAAAATCATCATGCTAGCAGTGGACCTTCCTATTTTCACAGAGGTTGCTCCTGAGCTTCATGAAGCCTGCAATTGGAAGGTCCACCCCTCAACACGCCCAATTTGTCACGTGACATTAGACACCTCCGCAGCTGCCATCTTTGATCCAGCAAAAGCTGCCTCCTCGTCTCTCTTCGAATACCAAAAAAACTTCCTCTCGGAAAAAAAAATAAGTCATCTCAAGTCCGTACCTTTTCAAGCAAAGCCGAGAAACCGGCAAAGGCCACCTCTTTTTCGCATCTTAGGACCGACGCCTTCATTCCATCGAGCCGTTTTCTCGAGGGAACGCGCATGTTTGCGCTAAATATACCCACCCCCATCGTGTCTCCAAATTTCCTCAGCGAACGTGATTGGCCCGCTTCCGATTTCACATCCCCACATCAACCAGCTGCCTCACGTCAAGTCAACTGGCCTGAGATATTCACGCTCCCTTCAACTTCTCTTTCCTCTCATCACCGAGTCGTTTGAGCATCCATCTATCCAACGGGCTTAAACGCATAATACGATCAAGCTGAGCGCCAGTGTCTGGCGCTGGTCTTGCCTTAGGGCATTTTTCACCGCCTACGATACCGCCGGCGGGTTCACGCCGACTCTCCATCGATCACGATGACGATGCATTCCGACGACGAGACGAATCGGTCTAAGGGGCCTGATGATGTTTCACCCGAGGACCAAGATGCCGCCGATGAGGCCAACATCCAGCGCGTTCTGAACATGGTTGCCGACAAGGGAGGGCTTGCTGAGATTAAAGGTATCGACTTCGCCCATACCAAGCCTATCGACCAAAGTGGCAAAGCCGAAGACGCACAGGATTTCGAAGACATAAGCGACGATGACCTTCCAGACGAAGAACCTCCGACGGCGACAACATCCTTTGAAGTTCCCGGCCTAACAGACGACGGAGGAACTAGTCACGATACCGACGATCTGTTTGGTGATGGACGGGAATCGTCGCCCTTCGACGCAGTTCTTGGACCCTCCTCTCCCCAGGCCCCCCCGGCCGAAACGGAGCTTGTTCTACCCACGGAGACCGAGACCCAACGCGAACTCTCATTTTACCCCGATCTTCTGGAGGGCACGAACCAAGACCCCAGCATTCCTCCCGCCATCGAATCGATCGAGGATTTCGTCAAACAGACATGGCCAAGCTTCAAACAGGGCATTATCCTGAACTGGAATGAACTCCTCCCGCCTAGAAAGCATTACTATAAGGACAAGAAACCAGCCAGGAAGCCCAAACCACTGCTGACGACGAAGTTAAGCCTTGACATCATGAATGACCAAGAAAAGGCTTTCCGCGTTCCAGGTTCTACTGCTTCTCAGCAAACCCGGGGTGGCATGTTCCAGGAGGGCCCTGGGAACGGATTTGTCCGCATCGCAGGGCCTACCAGACTCGGCGAAACCAGCGGGTTGGAGTTTGAGCTAGATGATGAGTCCGATGATGAACCAATTGCTAGGCTTAATAACCAGCATATCGACACCATCTGCTACGACTTCGACGAAAAGATTAGGAATGCGGAAAGGATCCGCGACACTCAAATCGCTGCACAGGCACAACATAAGCGCGCATCTGCGGATCTTGAGGACGAATGGGACGCGATGTTCATGGGCGAGGCGCCGAAGAAAAAGAAACGGACTATTCCAAAAGGCCTACCAAACATTACACAGTACCATACGCCATCTCTAGACAACTTCGAGCTCCTGACTAGGGCCTCCGCTAAACGTGTGCGCTTGGACGTCAACGATCCTAAACTCCACCTCATCGAGCCAGACGAAAGCCGCCCCTCCAAACGCGCCCGCCGGGAACAGAACCTCAGACGCATGGCGGGAGGGAATCTCGGTGGGAACGCCCTACGCAGATTCAATATCTCGAATGACGAGGCCTATGAACTGCTCAAGGAAGCCCACCAAGACAAGGTTCGCGCTACAATTGGCAACATCATGGTCGATCACGGGTTGCCGGCGCTCCGACTAGCATGGCCATACTACAAGACGAGACTCTCGGAAAGGCCTGACCAGTTCCATCGGCCGCCGTTCCATGTACGAAAGTTTGTTGGCCGGTCGATTGAGTTCTCGAAGCGCAATGTGCTCAAGCGCAAGGCTCAAAAGGGCAAGGCTCGTGACGTTTTCAAGAACACGAAGGATCTCACACTCAGGGACAACTCGACCGCGGTACTTTTCGAGTACTGTGAACGAATTCCCACCGTTCTCTCCAAGTTTGGCATGGGCAACCGTGTGATCAACTACTACCGCAAGGGTGCGGACACCAATGAACCTCCTCCTCCAAAGAAGGACCTTGGCGAGACACACATTCTCTTGCCGGAGGATCGGTCTCCATTCGCAATTTTCGGTACAGTCGACCCTGGTGAGACCGTGCCAACACTCCATAATCAGATGTATCGGGCTCCGCTTTTCAAACACTCTCCTCGCGAGGGCGACTTCATTCTAGGGCGAAGCTCGACTGGCAGAGAAGGCTCCCAGTGGTACCTGAGAAAAATCGATCACATCTTCGTTGTCGGACAAACGTTTCCGTCGGTGGAAGTGCCTGGCCCTCATTCGCGCAAGGTCACAACCACGTCCAAGAATCGGACTAAGATGCTCAGCTACCGCATCATGAGAAGGCATCCCGAGGGTATGCTATTTACGAGTGATATCACGAAGCACCTGGCTGGCACGAACGACGGCCAAAACAGACAGAAACTCAAAGAATTCCTCAAATACGTGCGTCCCGACAAGGACAACAACAGGCCGGGCTTCTGGTCGCTTCCACCCGGCGATACGTTGATGAACGAGGAAGGAATCAGGGCCTTGATCAAGCCGGAGGACACCTGCTTAATCGACGGAATGACGATGGGCATGAAGATGCTCGAGGATGCCGGCTACGACCCTCGATTGGCGGTCATACAAGAGAACGACGAGGATGACCTAGAAACACAAGGAGGTAAAGGTGGCAAGAAGGGCGGCGAGAAGGGTGAAGAGTCCCTCGCGGAGAAGATGGCTCCCTGGAAGACAACGAAGGCTTTCATTGATGCCTGCACTGGAAAGGCCATGCTTCAGCTCCATGGCGAAGGTGACCCCACGGGCCACGGCCTAGGATTCAGCTTCATCCGAACCTCGATGAAGGGAGGCTACCTCGAGCAGCTCCAACAGGGGCCGTTGTCGTCGTCAGCCGATGCGATCGAAAAGCAGAGGCGGGACAACAATGGGCATGCCTACAACGTCAAGAAGCAAGAATTGGCCTATAAGTCGGGCATCACCGAGATTTGGACCAAGCAAAAAACCACCCTTAGCGACCCGACGCTGCAGGATGATGACGACATCCTCCAGATAGCAGACGAGGATGAGCGGTTCAATGTGCAGGGTGCAGCGACGCCAGCCCCCGCAGTAGACGACAGTGTCAGCCAGTTTAGCGGATTCACCACGGCTAGTCGCCAGTCCAAGAAGCGACTGCGAATTGTGCGCCAGGTGGAGGGCCTAGACGGAGCATTGGAGGAGAGAGTGGAGATTGTAGAGGACCCCGTGGTCATTGCACAATACATCAAACGGCGCAACGAAATGGAGGCAGCGGAAAAAGAGTATGGAATTAAGACCCCCATCACTCCACCAACCAGATTTCCCCCAGAACCGGACCCAGTGGCCGGACTAGAATTTGAACTTCCTGCTTACTCGATTATTCATCTAGCATCCTCGAAATTATCCCTACTGGAGATGCCTCGATGGACCGTGTATTTGCCAAAAAGTAAGTTCGGCGTGGCATGAAGCATCAGAGCTTTTCCTCTTACTGACCAACGTTGCAGGATCTCGGCAGAACTCGACCGCCTCGAAAAGAACAGGGAAAGGCGGCTGCAGAGGGAGCAGCACAAAAAGCTCCAGGATGGTGCAGGCAGCGCCAGGTCACCAGAAGCTAGTGAGAAACCGGTTACGGGAACTACCCGAAAGTGTGCCAACTGCGGACAGGTCGGGCACATCAAGACCAACAAGAAGTACGGCACCACCTTTCCTTTGTCTACCCCCGTTCCCTGCATTTGATTTCACCAAGGCTTTAGCGGGCCACGAATTTGATCTGGAGTCGAAGGTGTACCCACCTCATCCACTACCGGATTTTGTTCGTACATTTAATGTGAGGACGCATGGCCGGTGGAAGTCCGAGCTGGTCTTGGCGGCAGCGATGAAGCAGTCCGTCAAGGAGCACCGAGAACGAGAGCGCCTGACGAAATCTAAACGTCGGGGCCGACCTTCCAAGCGGAAGGAGGCTGCACCGGAATGCTCGTCTGTCGCTTTAACATGACGTCCCCCTTTCCTCCCCATCCTCATCATTCTTTCCTAGTTTTCTCTAGCTACATCCCCTACTCAGAATAGCCTAGCTAACTGTAGTTTTCCTTCTCTAGACTCTGCCCGCTCCTCAATGGAACGGCAGCCGCTAGCGCCGCAAGCGATGCTAGTGGATTCGGTGGTTTCGGCCCGGCGACTCCCATGGCAGCCAACTCACCGCCCATGTAGGATGTGGAAGATTGATTGGCACGAATGTGGCGATGGCGAGGATAAGGATACGAGTATAGCCTTCAAAAAAACAGGCATTTGCTTTTTCCTTCTTCTTTTTCTTTCAGGGGTCATGAAAGGCTGGCACGAGAATGGGGAAGAGTGTGTGTGGTATTGTGTTCTTCTCTTTTTAATAGGTTATTTTCTGAGATACCCCTTCTTAAAGGCAAACGAGGGATTTTGCAGGGTGGACATTCGTCTAATCAAGCAGAGGCGGTCAATACATCCAATGGCTTTTTTTATGGCAACAATCTACGTGTTTGAAGTTGAGTTCCCACACTGTGATAGCTCTGCCGGTGATGACAGGATCTGCAAAAGCATCGTCAATTTGATGTACAGATGATGCCCCTCGTCTTACTTCCTGTGGTACGGGGCGATGCGCTCGTCATCCACATACCCGTCCTATGCAAGTGAGACCCTATCCCAGGCTCGCCGAAGCTTCTCTCACATAAGCGAGAAGCGCGACAGAACTGCGAAGTACGAAAGACACTGTCTCGATCAGTTGCAATCAATAAGCAAACACAACCCCACGTGTAGACCGAAGGAGCTGAATCGAGTCGACCATCTCCACGGATCCTACACGCCCTTCCACTCCTGGTTAAAAACAAAATACAGGGAATTTTGACCTGAACTGGAGACTCGCTGTAACCCAACACCATAAGAGCGATGCCAGAAAAGAAAAAAGGTGGTGGTTTAATATGGCAAGGAGAGAGGTCCACTTTGGCTGGTGTGCTAGCGGCGTCAGGGATGCGGCTCGAAAGGCCGGTGGGATTTCGGGATCTAAAATTAGAAACACGATCGTTTCTGGCGCTGTAGGCGCGGATGGATGGGGGAGTCGGGACGAACAGCAACTGGTGTAGGGTACGAGCTGCAAAGGAGGTAGGGCTAGTCTAATGTGGGGATTGTGCCACCAGGCATTTTACGTTCTAGGACTAGGACCACAGTTTGGACTACTTCTTACTCGTTGATGCGGGTCTATTGATGCTGGGGTTTGCTAGTTAGGTGAAAGTCCTTCAATTTGATTCTTGAGTGCAGGTGAAGGAAGGTATGTGAGAACGGGATTCGTGCATTTTACTAGCAGAGCTTATGAGAGGAATGGAATCCTTCGCAGGAGGATCAGTAAAGTTTCGATAGGTCTTACCACAATAGAAGTCGTCAATCAATCCAAGACATGAGATGGGCTTAAAGGGGGTGAATAGGTTCAAGGCAACTGTTTATGTTGAGGTCGGGAGGAGCGGCGGGCGGGCGTGTAGAGGCGGTTAAGGGGATTTTAACTTAAGATGGAACGCTGCGAGGTTACTCTGCGGGATTTTGTTGTTATACTTAGAAACAGAGAAAACCAGGAAACGGGATTGGAGGGTACATGTACCCTTGGGAAATGTGACGATGAACATGGGACTGAAAAGGGTTAGGGAGGAGGGAGGAGGGAGGAGGGAGAGGCGAGGCTCTCATCATTTTGTCTCCTCAGGTGAGTTAGGATTCAATTTTATTGGTGACAGAAAATATTAAGCTGGCCTATTCAGGGCGATTAAAGGCGGCTTTACATTGGTGCAGATATTGCCTCTAAATTTTTGATGTTGGACGGTAACTCGCAGGGGCTTGGAAGAACGAGGACGACGACTCATGCCGTCCATCAGTTGACCAGAAAACAGCAAGGAGTATTAGGTAAATATCCATGCAGGCCTATCACCTCGATTCGAGGGAGCAGGCACTAAGAAACCCCTGGCTGGGAAGAGCGAAGTGGGGGAGGGGGAATGTTCTCATGCGTGTGATGAGGAGGAGGGGGAGGAAAACGTGCAAGAAAGCGCCCAGGACCAGGCCCAATTGTGACGAGGTCGCTTCGATCGCATTGTTGGGCTAAATGCCAAATACCAAATATTCCCAAGGGTGCCAAAGTAAGCCAAGCTTTAGTCTCGCCGGATGAGAGGTCTCTTGGTTCTGACTTCGTACCGCTAGACGGTCTTCCTTTTCCTCGGCGGATGGCGTGAGGTGTGGACTTGGCATTGCAATGCACCGCATCGATTGGAAGGTGATCGTGAAGGGCGAATGGTAAACGGTAAATGGTGAGTGGTGAGTGGTGAATGGCCGTGGTGGCTTGATTGATGAAGGAGGTTGACATCAACAATCGAGATGTTTCTATTTTTAGTCTATTTTTAGAAACGGGCCCTTGTTCATGCATCGACGCTAAACTACGGGACAGGACACTACACCACATACGAGGAAGTTGAGCACCATCACCCACTGTCCACGCGAGACTCACATTGGATACATCATACAGCCGTCTCCCGAAACGACCGACCAGCAAGACCCCAGGAGTTCCTGAATCCAGCCATGATCTAACCCCTCGCCCTCTGCGGAGAAGGGAAAGAAAAGAAAGCCTCGGCAGGCTGGGAGCCACATGTGGTTTTCCATCGCGTTATTCGCTGGCCCTCGAGTTTAGCACAGCCACTCCCCCACCTCCCCCCCAGGAATGCGTCGTCGATCTGGATTGTCCCCTTGCTCGTTAGGCGCCCGGGCGCTTCAACGCGGTTCAAGGAGCAATAAACTTTCTGACTTAACGTGTGTGGGCCTCCCAGAATTTGAGGCTTCCGTCGTAAATGGCAGGTCGCAATCTGCAATCGAGAGTATTAGGCATGAGGTCGTCGATGTTGAAGCAAGACACCAAGGTCGCTGCGAATCCGACATTTGTCACATGACCCCTTCGACTCGGGAATCCAAACCAGGAATACTCTGTATGGAAATTCCTTTGGGTTATTCCGTCCTGTTCGGAACGTTGGGATATGTTTCTTCAGCGACGGCATCCGTGAGAGAAAGCCACAACACTACAAAACTTAGGATTCCGAGACTAGGGCGCTGAACACCACCGGGAGATTAGAGGCCAGGCTTGTTCATCATAGGAATCTACGTCACGTTAATTCCCCGAGCCAACCAAGCGAGGGGAGTGTGCGGGACCTCTCCAAGTTTCGATGCAAGTTTGCTCAGAGAGGATAACAGCCCGCACCCATGCATTCCAGTTGCCCATGTGCACCGCACGGGAGATTCTGGAGCACGAACGTCGAACACGAGGGGGCAATGGAAGAACACTTGCCCGACCTAGTCCGCGTCTTGTTTAGCAGTGGGATGTGTTGCGCCGGATCGCCGTCGCGTGCTCCATAAAAATTGCCGATTGTCCCGAGAGCCCGCTCCAAGATAAGCAGCGTGAACATGGACGGTCGCAGCGCAAAGCAAAGCTGTATAGAGTTGTAGAGTTCGTGGCTTAGATCCCTTTCTGTAAAGGATGGGTAAAGTTTCTTCATCGCTGCTACCATTACTCCGGATGAAATAGTGATACTTTGATGGAATGGAGGCAAGGCTGGGGATTTCTGAGAGTAATGGTGACGATGGCTCAGCCACAAATGTCTTGGTCGTGCTCGGGGGGTTGGAGGGCAAGTCTGAGCTCCCTTGGTATCAATACTTTGAACCTGGCGCTTGAGTAATCATTGTGATCGAGGTAAATTCGAAGGGTTTTTGAATGTTGCATTATTCCAAAAGGTGCTTGGGTAGCATCGCTCTTTTCAAGATTTTGAAACCTGAGCAAGGGTCTTGAAGTTCCCCACCATGAAGTATACCTTTGTACTCGAAAATGATTTCGTAGATAATTCTAGACAATACCTCCAAACCGGCCGAAGATATGGATTGATTTAATGGTGGGAGACTGATCGAGCCCTTCAACGACATGTTCATGTGTGACTCGCGCTCCTTGAGTGTTTAACTCTATTTCCTAGCTGAGAAAAGTGAAACTACAACCCCATGGCAGCCCAGCATGGCTGGGGAGAATATTAGCACGCCGGCCTGCCTGAGAACAGGAACTGAATTTTCCGATTTGCTCACCTGACCCACACCCACGCCTGAAGGGACTTTCGGAGCTCATTTTGTCTAGTCAAAGTCGTGCGAAGGTACGAAGTGTTAGCTATGTGATACCTTCTCGGTCCCTCGCCCGTCATAGGCCTGAGCCAGGCACTGTCCGACATTCATGGACGGAGATGGTCTCTCCTGCTCCGACCCAGTCCCAGGTTGGCATCTCCGGACACTGGGCACTTGGTAGCTCTAATCAGAATTGCTGTTGTAAGAGTGCCTTCATAATCTCTTCGAATATATTACTTCTACGTATATTATAGTGCTCCCGTAGCTGTGTAAAGGATTCCGCCAATCGATATGTAAATGTCCAGCGGGTATCAGTTGCGAGCTTTTAGGCAAAATGGTGAGTGGTCTGAAAGAGCCAATTTGAAGTGGACGCCATTTTTGTTCTTTTGGGAGACAAAGTGGAAATCTATATTGACGAGCTGTTGATCGAGTGGAAATGGACAGGACAACCTTCGGACTCGGGAATTTGCCCGGCGAGATGTCGAGTCCAAAGTTGAATGAAGCAAGGGACTGAGAGACCATAATCAATCCAAGCAAAGCAAGTCGAGACTCGCAGGCGCACGTTTCCGCCCATCATCACCAGGCACAAGAGTCGCTCCTTTCCACGTTGAGGCAGGCCTGGACGCGCCAAGGTGGAAGTACCGAGTGCTCTAATCCTCCCCAGGCAGTTGACAATGCAAAGTGCTTGTAAATTAGCCAGCCATTAACAGCGCACTTGTTTGTCTCTGCCACGAGAGGTACTTCAGAGTACCACCACTAGGAAGCCTCGATTGGACACTATCCTCCAGGGAAAAGAGACTGGCCCGTCAGGCAGCGGGCTGTAATCTGTTCGAATATCGGCATCAAATTGGGGGCGAAATATGGCATGTGTGAAAACAGTGATTGTTAAAGAACCGAAATTTCCTCCATTTCCAGCCCCTAATTACCTTCCTTAAATAGCCACCAATTTCCACTTAGTTTCCACCTGAAATATTAGGTTCTATTTTTACATATAGGCCAACATACTTTTTTAGCTATCATAATAAGTTATAATAGCTATAACTTCTAATTCCTACTTA